AGAATCTCATGTATCCTAGGCTGCCCCTTCTTTCTGTAGCTGAGGATGACCTTGAACCTCGGATTCCCCTGCCTAGCATGTGTTAGGTTCCAGTGTTTGGGTTCCAGGTGTCTGACTGACACCATGACCAGGTTATGTGGTGCTAGGGACTGAACTCAGGGTTCTGTGCATGGTAGGCAAACACTCTACCAACGGAGCTACACACCCTCCACCCAAAGTTCTCTGTATGTTCTAGAAACAAGTCCTTTGTCAGACACGACTCTCGAGTGTTTGCTCCGTGTCAAGGAGAGCCTTTTGAAGAGCAACTGTTTTTAATGATGAATTATCTGATTTATCTGGTTGTTGGTTGTTGGTTTTTGGTTTTTTGGGGTTCTTTTGTTTTGCTTTTTTTGTTTTTGTTTTTGTTTTTGTTTGCCTTTGCTGTGTGTTCCTTGTCTTCATGATAGCCTCACACTACATAGTAGCTAAGGATGACTTTGAACTTCTGATCCTCCTGCCTCCACGTCAGGGTACTAAAGCTGTGTGCTTTTTGTGTCATCTAATAATATGAATAGTTTCTGCCCAATTAGTGTTTCTTTTCTTTATCTTTGTTGTGTTTGGATTGAACCTAGGGCCTCACATGCTAGGCAAGGCATTCTACCCCAACTCTTTCCGGTGCTTCTTAGCTGCATGCAGTTTTGTCCCCAGGGGAAATTTGACTGTCAAAATAGAGAAGACAGTTGCTAGTGAAGCAGAAGGCCAAGGACATAATTAAGCATCTATAAAGCACGCGGCAGCTTCACAGTGAAGAATTGTGAACCTGTAAAGGGAACAGCACTGACCTACCTGACCCATCCCAAAGTCACGTGGATTTTCCTCCTTGTGTTCTTATGTGTGCTGATGTGGGATCCTCGCTCTTTGTCTGGTCTTGTTTTCTCAGTGCTGGGCATTAAATCCATATCCCTGTACATTCTGGGCAGGTACTCTACTACTGAACTACAGCTCTACCTATAGGTGGTCTACTTTGAGTTAGCTTTTGCATACCTGTCAGGAAGGGAACTAAATTTATTCCTTCATGGGATGGGAGAGGATATGTGGATGTTTCTGACTTACGTTGGCCATGGGTATCCAATCCCTATGAATTTTCCAGCCCCTTCATTAAGAGGTCATGGTGCTAGAGTCAATTGTGTGTTACATTTTTTTCCTATAGTTTTTCTTACAACTTCCCTCATCAGATCTGATGTGGATTCTGTGCACATCATACATTTGGGTCAGTCCTTGTCTAACATTCCTTCTTGTTTTTCTTTTTCTGCCTCTTTTAGTTTATTTGAACATTTTCCAATGTTCCATTATGATTTCTCTACTGTGGTGATATTTGGTGATATTTTCGGAGGTGTCTTGATTGATTTCTTGTTTGCTTGTTTTGCTTTGTTTTTGTAAGATGTGTTACTATGTGGCCCAGGCATCTGTGTTAGCTCCACAGGACTTAAGGACAGTCAGCCATTTGCACTGGGAGCCACTGCTTCTCCTGCTGGCTTCAGCTAGCGTGGTCCTCCACAGGACTTCCTTCGGCAATTCTCCTAGAACTCGTTTGCTGCCAATGAGTTTTCTTAGTCTCTTTAATCTGAGAATGTCCTGGTCTGTTTTTTACTAGAGTTCAAACCTGGGTGTGGCCCACACTACGCAAATACTGTATGAAAATGTTTTTATTTGGCTGTCATTCCCGAGATGTATTTCTGCTGGATGAAGAGTTCTGGTTTGGCCTTTCTCTTCTGTTGGCATGGTCTGTCTTCTTTTTTCCCATGTGTATATATGTGAGTTTACACGTGGGTGTGCACATGTGTATGGGTACAGTACATGTGTGTACATGTCTGTGGAGACCTGAAGTTGATGTTGGGACTCTTCTTGATTCCTCTTCCACTTAATTCTTGGAGGTAGGATCTCTGAATCAAATCCAGAGCTTGCTGAGACACTCTTACAACTAGCAGATTTGATCCTGTGTTCAAACACCTTACCACGGTCTTCTGAGGCTGGAACTTCAGGCAGGCCATCACACCCATTCAGCATTTATGTGGGTCCTGGGGACCCAAACTCTGGTCTTCTTGCTTGCATGGGAAATGTTTTAACCTCTGGGCCATTTCACCAGCCCCTATCCCCATCAACATTTTCTGTGTATTCCCCTCCCTCTGACTCCTCTAGGCGTTGATTAAAAACAACGCAATGTCATTTGAATTGTGGTTCCCTGTTAGTGATGTTCTAGTTCCGCCTGGCTGCTCTCAGGATGTTCTCTGCTCTAGGAATGTTGCTCAGTGGTGGTGGTTGCCTAGTGTATGTCAGGTCCTCAGTTCAGTCACCAGTTCAAAAATATATTTTAATGCCTTTCTAAAGGTGATTTTTTTATTTTAAATGTGTGTGTGTGTGTGTGTGTGTGTGTGCATGCCTGTGGAGGCTAGAGTAGGGCATCAGATACCTGGGAACCGGAGCTACAGGCAGTTATGAGCTGCCTGGCGTGGGTGCTGCGAACGGGGTGCAGGTCCTCTAGAAGAGCAGCCATGTTTACAGGCCCCAGACCAGCTTTTTAAAGACCAAGCGTGGTGGTGCCCATAGTCCCAGCACTTGGGAGGATTGCCATGAGTTCGAAGCCAGCCCAGAGTATAGATAAGACCTTGTAAGATAATATAAGTCTTGTGAAAACAAAGTTAGCTTTGAGAACTCTGTGGTAGGTCTTGGGGTGGGTTTCTTTTGTTTAACTATGCTGAGCTTCTTGACTTGAGGTAAACTGAGGAAGCTTTAGGGCCGCATTCCTTCAGATGCTGTTCCACACCACACCTCCTCTCTGGGATTCTAAGAATAGGAACATTAAACCTTTGAGTCATATTCTCAGGCCCTGAGTTCTGCTTATCATGTCTTTGGTCTTGGATATTTCTTCATTCCATTATCTTCCTTCTGTGGTCTCCTCCATCTGGTACCCTCACATTTTATGTGTTTAATGTAATTTTCAGCCCTAACATTTCCACTTAGTTCTCCTTTATACCTGTTATTTCTTTGCTGAACCTTTGCCCTGCCCCTGAACTGGGAATAGAAGCGAGAGTCATGCACATATGAGGTAACTGTTCCACCCTAGAAATACTTCCTTTTGAGATGGAAGCTCACTGAGTTAGTTACTCAGGCTGGCTTTGCACTCACTTCACAACCCAACCTTGAACTTGGAAAAGTCCTGCCTCAGCCTTTCTAGTAACTGAGATGACAGGCCTATGCTACCAGACGGGCTTGTTTATTTGAAGTGTGTTACCCTGACTAACCCGGAACTCACTTTATAGAACATGTTGTCCTAAACAGAGATCCTTCTGCCTCCATCTTCTGAGTCCTGGAATTCCAAGCAAGCATTGTCACATCCAACATCTCCCTCTACTTTGTCATTGTGGAGGCCGTGTGACTGGCCACATGACCCTGCTGCCATGACTTCCTTCCTCAGGAGGATTGCACTCCACAGTGACGAAGTAGGCGGAGATGAGTGCTTGCCCCCAGCTAGCTTTCTTCTCTATGTGCTGCCTCTGGAATGGTGCCGCCGCCCATGTTCAGAGTGGGCCTTCACACCTCAGTCACCCTGGTCCAGAAAACCCCTCACCACACCTGGAAGTTTGATTTCAAAGTGACTCTAGGTCTTGCCTAGTTGGCAGTCAATATAAACGATCACAAATGGAGACTTGCATTAGGGTGAGCACTGGAGAACAAGAGCAATATCGACAAACGCTCACTAAGCACCATCTTCAAGAAGAAAATGGGAAGATTTGCCTCAGTGAGAGATCACATCCCATGTCATGAATGGGAATATTAACACTTGTTTGTATTGTGGATGGTGAGACAAGTTTCCTTTGAGCAACAGCAGCTATAGCTAAAGTCTTCTCGCGCTGGGCTAAGTGCTAAGCATGCAAAAAGCCCTAGCTGTAGTCCCTGAACCATAACAATTAAAATCCATTTGTTCGGAGCAAGCTGGCTCATGTCTGTAATCCTAGTACTTGGGAGGTGGAGGCAGGAGGATCAGCAGTTCAGGGCCAGCCTTAGCTACATGAACATCCCTGAGAGTTTGTCCTTAACCCCCGTGTCCCTCCTACCTCAGTTTCCCCATTGGATGGCTTCTTGGTTGCAGCCATGCAGGTTCCTTTTGGCCTGCTTTGGGATATTCTACTCCTCCAACACCTCTCTCTCCGCTCTCCACAGCTGCTTCAGCTCTCAGCCGCTGCTGTGGAGAAAGGCCGCAGCGTCGGGGAGGTTCTGCAGTCGGTGCTGAGGTATGAGAAGGAGCGACAGCTGGATGAGGCGGTGGGAAACGTCACGCGACTGCAGCTGCTGGACTGGCTGATGGCAAACCTGTGATTGGGCCCACCTGGTGTTCCAGCAGTGGGCCGTGTCCCCACTCCCTCAGCTCCCCTCCCTGTCACCCAGAGCCCTAAAGTTCCCTTCACACCACCCACACCAGATGCACCATCTAACGCTACTCACTGGATTTTGCAGATTTTCTTGTCCATGCAAGCAAGGACATAAATTAAAAGATTACAATTAAAGGGCTGCACGACTTTGGCTTACTTTTGTTTGGAAGGTAAGGCTGCACTCTCTCAGAGAAAGCCATTGGAGGGAGGAGGGCAGGGACCGAATGGCAGAGAAGAACGGCCAGCAACCTACTCAATTCCCTGCCGTCCCCAGCTATGAGCTGATTAAACCGGTGCCTTAAAATAAGCCACAATTGGGTTTACTATTTCGTTTCCATCCTTTAGAACCACAGCAACCAGAAAACAGTTTCTAACAGCCAGTCAAAATCATTCACACTGTGCTGTTGTGGGTATGGCCTCATTGTGGGGCGTTTACCCACCACCCCCACAGATCCCCAGAGTTTTCTTGAGTGTGAGCAGCAGGAAATATTAGATAGAAGGATTCATTGCGGAGAATATCGCGGAGATAAACAGATAGAAAATAAAGGATAGCCTCGAGAGGGCCTGGAACCTATTCCAACGGCCCTGACTGTCTCTGCCCCAGGGTTTTTATAGAGACGCCAAGGGGTGGAGCAAAAGACCTCCTCCCCCAGCACAGCCAAGTGCAGACCATCTCAGACACCTGCACTCAGGCCCGTGGTCCTAATCATCCTCTATGTGGACCTGCTGGGTAAAGCCACGAGGAACCCGAGAACGGGCTCCCACACCTCATGTGGTCTGCACAGCTGTGGAACCACTGCCCACCTCCAACTGTACCCACAGTTCAAGGTAGAGCTGAAACAGCCCCAGGGACTATAGGTGTGGCAGACGTAGCCATCGTGACCCTAGGTTTCACCCCAGTGGCATAAAAGAAAGCACTGGTCTGAGGCTGAGTTCTCAGTAGAGTGTGGTAGTTCAGGCTGCAATGCTTGCGCCTGGGCAGTGGAGACAGTATGTTCAGTAGCTTAAAGTGATCCTCTGCCCCATATCCAGTTCCAGTCTAAACTACATTTATTCATGCATTTATTTGGGGGCAAGACATGCCTACCAGTTCCAATCTAAACTACATTTATTTATGCATTTATTTGGGGGCAAGACGTGCCTACCACAGCGCGGGTGTGGAGGTCAGAGGACAACTTGAGAGAATCAGTTCTCTTCTTCCACCATGTGAGGTCTGGGGCTCTTACTCCTGGCAAGACAGAAACTCCGACTATTCATTAAGTTTGGCAGCCATCACTTTTACCCACTGAGCCATCTTGCTAGCCCAGACTTTTTTTTTTTTTTACATTTGTTTATTGATTTATTTTAGAGGATGCGGCTAATGTTTTTTGTAGTGAGGTGGGCTCTGAAGTAGCCTACCTCGCCCAGAGCTGACTGAGTTCCAGCCACTCGAAACACCACTGCAGCCAGCTTTTCACTTGGGCACTAAGGACCACATTCAAGCCCCCCTGCTTATGTGGCAATCACTCTACCGCCTGAGCGGTATCGCCAACCCCAAGACTGCACTTTGGAGAGGATGTGTGTAATCCCTTAACTTCCAGGCTGAGCCTGTCATCGGAACAAAGCTAGTTACAGAGGGGGAGAAGTAGAGGGAGGCAAGAGGCAAGGCTAATAGATGAATCCGAACTGTTCCTTAACTGTACAAATCAATAAACTGGTATGACAGCAGCCAGCATTTTCAAACAAGAACACCAGGCTGAGGACCTAGGTCAGTTGGTAAAATGTTTGCCACATAAGCATAAGGACCTGAGTTTGATACCCAGGACCAATGAAAAAAGACCAGACATGGAGCTACAGAGATGGCTAAGTGATAGAGCGCATGCTCGTTCTTCAAGAGGACCAGAGTTCAGTTCCCAGCACCCACATCAGGCAGGTCACAACCACATGCAACTCCAGCTCCAGAGGATCTGATGCCCAATACTGGACTCCTTGAGCACCTGCTCACCCATGTTTACACACACACACACACACACACACACACACACACACACTCCTTGAGCACCTGCTCACCCATGTTTACACACACACACACACACACACATAAATCTTAAAAAGGGTGGCATGGTGGAGAACACTTGTAATCCCAGCCTTGGAGAGGTGGAGACAGATCCCTGCTCAGTGGCCAGCCAGTCCGACCTACTTGGCAAGTTTCAGGCCAATGAGAGATTGCCTCAGGAAACCACGTGGACAGCAAGGAGAATGACACCCGAGGTTATTCTCTAGCCTCCATATGCACCTGCACACACATATACAAGCACATGAACAAAACAAAACAAGAGAATCCTGATTAACACTGATTGACAGTCACAAACAAGAAAAGATCTGATTTTATTTGGAGTTCCATGAATGAGGCTGTAGCATCTGACAGTACCCCCTACACAAACATACACATACCTTAAAAAGTAAGTTCAGGTAAAGCACCTTCCTTCCCCCGGCCCCCGTCAACCTTCACTGGAGGAATCATGCCAACTCACCATGTGAATAGAGTTTGATTTTTCTTACAAACCTTTATGCATTAAAAAAGCAATGTGAAGTATTGTATAATCGAAGTGCCTTCTCTAATACAAATCGCTGGTGGGAAGGAACAGGATGCACCCTCCACAAGGGTCACATGATGGGTGGCAAAATGTTAGTGCTCTTAGGGGAGGAGGTGCATTGTTGTTCTGTGGACACCTCTGACCCAGAAACAGTCTCTGGCTTTCCAGAAGCTTCTGCTAGATGAGGCAGCTGGACTGTGTCAGCTGTGTGCTGGAGAGAGCTCTGCCGTTTGCCTGAATTCTGACTGTGCTTCTCAGGATCATCTTTCAGTTTGTCTGTAGTTTCTTTGGTGGTCTCTTCTGCAGAAAGGAAGGAACAAAGAGAATCCTTCAAACACTAGCCACTGTGTATTAGACGTTGCATCAGTTTAGGGAAATTGAACCTTCTGTGGCCAGCATTATTCTAAGCACTTTGTACTTATCCATTTGATCCCTTTCTAATCCCCACAGAATAAGCACTATTGTCATATAAGCTGATACACAGAGAGGTAAATTGCCTGAGAGCCACACCTGGTACTGCAGAAGCAGATTTCAGTCCCACCTGAGTCCAGTGATCTGTCTTACTAGGCTGCACTGCAAAGAAAAATTTGCCTCATGCCTTTGTATGTCATTCTGATGACGTAAAAGGGGGGTAGAGAGATGGCTTGGCAGTTAAGAGCACTTGCTGCTCTGCCAGAGGACCAGATCTCCATTCCCAGCACCCACATACAAGGTTACAACTGCTGTAACTCCAGCTCCAGGGACTCTGGAACCCTCTGTGGGCACCAGCACACACACAAATAATAAAATGCATTTTAAAAAGAACATAAAAGGTGGTCATAGGACACGAGGGGTAAGCATAATAAAAGAAAGGAGAAAGGGAATTGAATATTGAAAAATGGAAAATCCTAATGGCAAGAGGCCAACAGGAGGAATCCATCTAGAATGAAGTCTCCCAAGAGAGGAAACTCACAAAAATAAGAAATGGTAAGCTCCTGTTGGTGTAGTCGGGGCTGAATTAGCCCACATCCCATGCAGACATCAGGGCTCGCTCACCCGTGCCTGGCTCCTTGAACTGTACCTGTTTTGCTTTTGCTGGACTGATGCTCTTCAACCTTGTCCTTGCTCATCTCAGAAGAAGTACAGACACTGGACTTCCTTAGGATCTGCGGCCTGGGCCGGGTTTTGAGTTTCCGTGACTCGTGAATCCAGGCATGCTTGAGGGCCTGGTCGGGGGTCATGCGGAGAGAAGGCTCCCATCTGGACACCAAGACAGCCCAACATGAGCCTGTTACTGTTGACGTAACACTTCTCATAGTAAAAGAGTTTGTAAACCTGATCAAGATGTTTTTCATTTTAGCTGTGTTGTATCTCAAAGATATCAAAGAACAGGGGAGATGACATAATTGTAAAATGGCTGCAAACAGCTATTGATATTTTTTAAAGGAAAGTTGCATAATGAACCAAGTACTATATTAATACCAAATTGTCTAGAATCCCTAGAAATTCTCTTGCAGGAAATACTGTTTAGGGCTGGGGGTGTAGTTCAGTGGTAGAGATGTGTGAGACCCTGCATATCAGTCTCCAGAACTGCAACAAACAACTTGAAGAAATATTAAAGAATCCTAGCCAATGAAACATAGGATTTGGCAAGTTAAGAAAATGGCAACAAGACGCATGCTTCTCAAACTATGGGATCTGGGGCTCCAAAGGTAAGGGAAAAGAAAATCATAGGATATCAGATTCATACGGGGGCAGAGCATGATACCTAATCCCGGCTCTGGGGCATTGGAGGCAGGAGGATGAGAAGTTAAAGTCCAGCTTCAAATATGTAGTGAATTTGAGGCTAGCCTGTGCTACATGAGATCATGTATCAAAAAAATTTAAAAAAATTACTATCCATGGGTGTTGTAATTCAAGGAAATTTCTAACATAGTAACAAAATGCATTTTATAGAACTTTAACAATTCTACCACTGTAAAATACCTTCAGGAACTATATACTAGCACAGATTTCAATTTTGAAGTTTTCTGAATTTCTTTTGTTTGTTTGTTTCATGCTAGACAACAGACCCAGGGCCTCAAGTACTCTCAGAAATCACTCTACCATTGAGCTTCACCCTAGTACTTTTCAATTTTATTTGAAAAAGGATCTTATTTAGCCAGGGCTGAACTCAAACTTTAAATTCTCCTGCTTCAGCTTCCCAAACAGCTGGGTTTATATACATTTGCCATCTCATTCAGCTGAAAAACACCAATCTGAAAAAGGTTTTCATGTTCAATCTCACAGAGCCAAGATTGACTTGTTGCCCGGTAACTTTCACCCAAGTCTAAATTCTGCCCATTAGCGTTATACAGGATAAAATAGCTGGCCTCCCTCCAGGTCCTAGTCCTTTCAACTATCTGAAAACTCATGCTAAAGCACCCTATTTCTCCAGAACAACAGGTAAAGATGCGCTCTTCTGCAAACTTGAGTCACCACAATCTATTGTCTGTGTGCTGTGGTTCTGTCGGCTGGCCACCTTTCATGGTGGGCACTTCCATCTCTTGTCCAGCATGCTGGGCAGAGCTTCCAACTACAGGGAGGCAGTGTGAACATTCTAGCTCATCAAAGTCATTAGCTACACAAGCTCTCGGTTGCCAAATGAGCTGCTGCTGAGCTATATCTCCGCTCTCCTGAACTTCTACAGTTAGTTTCTAAGACTAGGTGGCAGGTCTTAACATGCTCCATCTAACCCTGCAAGTTTTGGCCCAGAACCTCTAGCCTGCCATTCCAAAGCTTTGCTGCTTGGTGATTTCAGGTTGAGTAACAGGCCCTGTCAACCTTACTGCCTTGTATGACTTGAGAGCAGTCGATCCTTTAAATTAATTAAATAAATAAATAAACAAATAAATAAATAAATAATCTGTTTTGCTCCTGAACTATGTTGAGTAACAGGCCCTGTCAACATTACTGCCTTGTATGAGTTGAGAGCAGTTAATCCTTTGCAATAAATAAACAAACAAACAAATAATAAATAAATCTGTTTTGCTCCTAAATAGGTCTAGATGATTACAGTTCTGGGTAACCCCTATCCCAAATCCAGTCTCAGTGTTGGTTTCTATCATTTTTTTTAAGAGACGTTTGTACTATAGCCTTAGCCAGAGGTTGGATTGACATAGGAGAGTAAAGATCAGGTACAGGAACCCTCTCTTTGATTTCAGGTGGAAAATAGCATGACTGTGTGGTGATATATTGTGCACCCCAATAAAACTTATCTGGGGATCAGAGGACAGAGCCAGCCACTATATTAGACATAGAGGCCAGACAGTGATGGCACAAACCCTTAATCCTATCACTCGGAAGACAGATTCGTATGGATCTCTGTGAGTTCAAAGCTATGCTGAGAAACAGAGCCAGGTGTGGTGGCACACACCTTTAATACCAACACTTGAGATCTCATGCCTTTGCTTGGGAAGCACACATGCCTTTAATCCCAGGAAGTAAGATGGCAGGGCAGAAAAAAAGGTATATAAGGTGTGAGGAAACAGGAACTCACTCTCTTGAGGCTGAGGATTTCGTAGAGGTAAGAATATGACTGGCTGCTCTGCTTCTTTGATCTTTCAGCTATCACCCCAGTATCTGGCTCTGGATTTTTTTTTAATAAGACCATTTAGCAATTCGTATTACATGACTGCCCCCATGGAGGAGAGGGTTCTTCTTCTAGCAATACTGATTGCCATCTGGACTGCTGCCTGAGTTCTGGAAGGCATGAGTGCCCAGAGTATTTTACTAAAGTCACTCTGTCCCTCTAGAAGAATGGGCGATTATAAAGGCACAGTCTTCTGAAAACACTGAACAGTTGTAGGACTGATGGCTGGAAGGTACCTTAGCAATCCCTCATTTTAGAGAAAAGGAAACAGGCCCAGAGAGCAATGGTGACTAGCTAAAAAGCACATGGCCAGTTTACTTAGACTCAAAAGAGACAGGCTGGCAAGTCCTCTTAAAGAGCAGCCACAACCAAGCTTTGCCAAATACCAGAGAACTGGAAGAGGGCTACATGGATCATGGGCCACTCCTTATTCATGAGAATGTGACCAAGGTGAAGAACTTGATTTCTCAGATTCTGACTAAACAGCTGTGCATAGTAATTTACAGCTCACCCCATGCCTAACTAACCAGTATGTGGAGATCTGGACACTAACTCTAGGAGATATTCAAAAGGGTCCTGTGCTGGGGATGTCATCTTTCTGTATGCTGTGAATGTGTTGCTCTGATTGATTGATAAATAAAACGCCAATTGGCCAGTAGCCAGGCAGGAAGTATAGTATAGGCGGGATAAGCAGAGAGGAGAATTCTGGGAAGTAGAAGGCTGAGTCAGGAGACGCTGCCAACTGCCACCATGAGAAGCAAGATGTAAAGTACTGGTAAGCCACGAGCCACATGGCAACCTATAGATTTATAGAAATTGGTTATTTTAAGATATAAGAACTAGATAGCAAGAAGCCTGCCACGGCCATACAGTTTATAAGTAATATAAGTCTCTGTGTGTTTAATTGGGTCTGAGTGGCTACGGGCCTGGAGAAAACTCCAGCTACAGTCCTGGAGCTGTGTACACTGCATAGCTTGACATACAATACAACAGGCCCACTGAAGAGCTGGCTTTAGTTCATGAAGTGTCAGATGGTAGGACTGTCAGGCAGTCCCTTGTCAGGCAGCTTGAGACTAAGATAGTGACAATCTCCACACATACACTGCAGTCCAGAGAAAATGGCTGAGCCTAGACTTACAGGAGAGCAGTGTCTGACCAGACACACGTTAAATGACTTGAATACTTCAAAGCTGTACCGTGAGAGCAGTGACTGACTCTTACACCTATCTCCCAGCCTTAGACTTTCGCTGGCAGACACGTGGGAAAGCATAGCACTTAAAAGTTAGGAAACCCACAGGCAAAGACTCCCAGACAAACTCACACCAAGCATCTTCTGAGAAAGTCTAGGAAGCTGGTGTCGTAGGTTTTCAGCACCATCGTGAGATCCTTGGAATCTGGGTATCTTTTCTCTCCCCTGTTGTTGGTTATGTTTTTGGGAAGACCTTTGGAATCTTCAGAGAAACAACATTCTGTATTTAGTTGCAGGCATGAATACTCACCGATGACTTCGCAGCTGTCCACTCAACCATGCTGCCTCTTGACTGCCTCTCTGCAGCTTTTGTCCCATCTGACATGCCTGCCCCGTTCCACCCTTCTCCACCCACACACATGAAGGCATCCTGCAGTCTCAGCCAGGTCGAAATAGTCCACATACGTCATGTAGTGAACACAACTGATGCCAACCACAACGTTTCCTACTAGCCTGTATGTTCTGAGCCTCCTCCTCACCACATGCTTCCCACATCAGGCAAATAGTTTAAATCACTTGCCGCTGACCAGTCTTAGCAGATATTGGGGGTGCTGGTGATAAAAATAAGTTTCAAATGGCCAGAGTCTCCACCTCTGAGCAGAAGGATGATACATCTTCTTGGGTTATCTATGCCTTTGCTCACTAGCCCAGCAAAGTAAAAATGAGGCCATTCAGGGGCAAAATAAAGTAAGACATTTTAGAGTGCTTTCAGAGTTCATTTACAAGCCACACAAGCTAATGTACTTCCTTCATTCTTTGGGGTCACACCAAAATTTTGTCAGTAACTGGAGTGGTGGGTCTTGCCTGACTCTAGAAGACATGACTTGGAATGGCCTTTCTTCAATTCTTTCTGCTGAGTTAAGACCCATGCCTAAAGTGTGAAGTCCAGAAGGTTCTAAAGATTGCCTGAGGATGTTTTGTACAGTGCTTTGAAGGTGAAACCAACTGCATGTTGAAGTTCTTGTGTGGTGTTCAGAAGAGCTGGGTGTTTCGCATCACACCTTATAAAGTGGGTGAGCAAATATGTGTATCTACACATCTCTGTACTTCACTATGTTCTCAGAGACAGTGGTGTTCATGTGGTGGGTAGTATGGAGGCCACATAATGAAGTTCTGTTATTTTCCTCAGCCCCACCACTCCTTTTTCTGAGACATGTTCTCATTAGGTGGCCCTGTCTTGTCTGGAACTTGCTATGGAGACTACACTCTCCTTGAACTCACGGAGATCCATCTGCCTCTGCCTCCTGAGTTGTGGGAATTAAAGCTGTAGACCCCATGCTCAACGTTGTTGCAGAGCCTCCAAAATATCTGCTCTGACTGAATTCCTGAAGAGAGACTTGCAGAAATGTGTGAATGGGCATTTGTGGACGTGGATATCCTTGTGTTTACAAGGTTATGAATGGACCGGAGGATTACATAGGGCCTATAAACCCACACCAATTCTGTTTCCTCTTAGAGGTGGCCCCAGCACTCATCTTCTCCGGAAGAATCAAGCTCATGGCCTTGGAAGTAACTTAGCACTTAAAGTCATTGCTGTGCTTTATTTCTTGTCCAATTTTTTTCTCTCTCCTCTGGCCCCAATTACTATCCAGTTCTTTCCCCCATCTCCTTCTTGCTACTTGGAGCATTTATCACACTACCCTGAGGCAACTTCTCTTTCCTGCTGAGTTGGAGTGTAACCCAGAGTAGCCGTGTACCCCCTTAAGTCCCCACTGGGATGCTGTCTCCTGAGGTCAGTGTTAAAGGTTTAAGATATGGTGCGAAGCAGGGAAGTCTAGCAAGAGGGAGGACCCCCATCCCCATTGTTCGTCCCTCAAATTCTTCAAGGCCTAAAGGCTCAGTGCTATAAGCAGCTGGTGGGAAGAGCAGTTGCAGTCAAAAAAAAGTCCAGCTCACATCAGTTCACCAAGGAGTCAGCCAGAGCCTGTGCTTGTCCTCAAAGTGTGGGGAGGAATGGTAAGTATGGGGGTGCTGTGCTAAGGGAATGAGGACCCTGCCCTGCTCAGAGGCACGGTCTTCAAATCTCTAGCCAGAAATATGAGGTGACACTTGAGAGATTGAAAAACTGGAATGGCGTGGGACAGACCAACCATAATGGAGTACATCTGCTTGCTGGGCCTTCAATTTTTGGTTTTTATATCGTGGAGCATCCAAGGAAACCTAAGGGAGGAGCCAGGAAGTCTGAAGTCATGGCTCGTTACTGAATGGTACAGAGGGGAAATCAATATATACTGACCAGCAGGACTGAAACCATTTTGTCTTAGTGGCCCCCTGTGGGGATAATTTTAACTCTCCTGCTGATGGAGAAGGCTGAGAGTAACCTATGATTTGCCTACTTTTTCTGAAACCACTCCCAGTCAACAATCAAAGAGGACTGAAAAGACTTGGATCCCATAGCTGGTGTGAGCCTGGCAACTAGCCTGATTGACAACAGTGGCTGCTTAGCAATGCCCCCTGGCCTGTGGAGTCTCTGCTCCTTCAGGTCTGCCTTCCCTCTACTTGGATAACCCTCAGAGGCTGAGTTTGTAATGTGCTTGCTATGCAAGCGTGGGAACATGAGTTCAGATCTCCAGCACCCATGGAAACGGTATATAGGATAGCACCTGTAACTCCAGCACCAGGGGATGGAGGCAAGATCACCCCAGGAGCTTGCTGGCCAACTAGTATAGCCAAAATGTAGGTGCTGGCTTCAGGGAGAGAGGTGCTGTCTCAAAATTAAGGGAAGAGTGACAGGAGAATATACCCATTGTGTAGCATTTCCTTCCAAGATAAACGTCCATCTTAGAGGGAAGCTCCTTAAGACTTGGGGTGTTCCAAAGGGAGGTGAAGGATGTCAACCTACAGCAAAGCTCAATGGACTCAGGAGGCAATTCAAAAGCTTCAGGAAGTCTCTGAAACAGATTTGCTAGTCCCTTCTCTCCCCAAACATATATAAGCTATAAGAACTGCCTGGAGAGATAACTCTCCCGCCTGGAAGAAGCAGAGACCAGCTGAGCTACCTGGAAGAGGCCCAGACCACTTGGGCTGCCTGAAAGAGCCACTCTCCAACCTGTTGAGCTGCCTGCAGGTTGTGCAGCGAGCTTCAGACTTCCAGCTGTCACCCACATTGGGCTTGTGGTGATGCAGCTGTGTCGAAGTCATTTCTTCCCCTGTGACCCCTCACCCATGCTCCTGTAAATAACCCCAGTAAAACTCATCAGCTCACCAACTGGACTTCGTTCCCCTCCTTACTTTCTCTGTCATCAGTTCCCTGTCTGGGGTGAGTATATGTTTGTTCACACCATCCCAAGAACAGTGTCACCCAACAGGACCAGATGATGCTGAACTCTGGCATCCTTATGCATACACATGTGCCCATACACATATACCCCACCCCTGCACATGCAAACTTAACAACAACAACAATAATAATAATAATAATAATAATAATAATAATAATAATAATTCTCCATTAATGGGAGACTATAAACAGACTTTCCCACTATGCCAGAAGTTTCTGCCCTGATTTCTTAGCACAGTGCATGGCAAGAGAGGCCAAGTTGTTTGGGGAGCACCTCTAGGAGGGAGTATGTTTTAATCTTTTGTGGTTGCAGTACTAGCTGATAGATCTGAAGAACAGGGTGCTCCATGCTCCTGGTATTGTACTGTGAAGACCCCCTTCCACTGGGAGACACCATCTATCACACTACCATGTACCACTTATCATCTCTTCAGCTCCTCATCACCCTTCGATATGGGGCCAGGGAAAAGAAAAATATCCGTCACTCTGTCTATCTGTTTGCCTGGGGTGTCTTCAAGTCCAGTGACACCTCACTGGACACAATGGGACAAAGAGATCATGGGACTTACCAAAGAATATCTGTCTCCTGGAGGCCGTCTGGATGAGGTGGGCAGGTGGCAGACCCAGCACCTTCAACAAGTACAGTGTGGCTGTGTCACTATTGTGGAGTCACAAATCCAAAAGCTGGCAAGAGCTAGGTGGGACTGTGGCCAAACTCTGTCTTTTACATTTAAGGCTCAGAAGATTTAAGTAATAGCATCACATCAGTGGCAGAGCAGACCCAGACACTAGGTCTTCCAGTTCCTGCTCCAGGCTGCCTCAGTACCCTATGAATGAACACTGGCCCTATTAGACAGGTAAGGCACTGTGGTAGCATCCAGATTCCTTGTCAGCCCATGCAGACCACAGGGAATGAGGAGTGACTTCTCCCAGCATGGAGCACTGGGTTGGGAAGGGGGAAGGAGGGAGCCCTAGACCCTGAGAAGACAAAAGAACATTCTTGGAAAGAAAATTTAGTACTGACTGGTCACTGTTTTCTCGGGGACTTACATGTGTATAAGACAAAGAGAAATTAGCCAGTGTGCCCTCCACCCTGGTTGGCAGACACAGCCTAGGCATGACCCCACCCTCTGGTTCTGCAGCCCTTCAGAGGTCCAAAGGAAACAGGTCCTGGAGCAGTAGGAAACACAGCTCACACATCCCAGTTTCCCATGTGTTAGAAGCAGGGATGGTTCAAGAGTATTCCATCCAGCCTTAGCAACAACACATACCCTGACCCTCATTTTCAACAGTCCACAGCAAACAATGTGTCATGCCATAAAGATAAATCCAAGACTGGCCCCCTGGTTTCCTAACTCCTAGACCAGTTAACTACCATTGACTACCACTTCCAGCTATTTTTAACCTACCTGCCTTTTCAAGGAGAAAGAAGGATAAGGCAAGGGAAAGATGTGGTTGCTTAAGAACACAGTCACCTGATTTTTAGGTAGACTTGGTGGGTACCAGATCACACTTGCTTCAGTATGTTATTATCATCATTATGGTGGTGTATTTGGAAGACTAGTCTCACCGTTTCATTTGAAAATGTCAGTATTTACAGCGAGGGAAAGGACATCATCAGCAACTATTTAAATCATGATGAAAAAGTTAGCTCTCAGCTCAGCAAAATACAAGCAGTACATCACTTCAAAAATACTTTCAGAAGTAGGAGGAGCATGCAGGACACTGCCCTTGCTGAATCTGATGAAACCCAGTATCTGAGAATGAACGTCATCAGGACATCATCTACACTGGTGCCTGACCCTCCCCCTCACCTCCATGATGCAAGCCAGCTGCTCGACCTCATTCTCCCCAGGGAACAGTGGATATCCTGTGTACAGCTCCGCCATGATGCAGCCCAGGCTCCACATATCAATGGCCATGTTGTAGGGGTGGCCCAGAATCACCTCGGGGGATCGGTAGAACCGGCTTTGGATGTACGTATACACTGTGGTGCAAAGGGAGAGAAACATCGCCACAAAGCTTCCTCCAGATGCCTCTGTGGTAACTAATTTAGAGCTTCACCCTCGTAAATGCCCCCCTCTGTGGGCTTCTCAGGAAGAAGGAAGTGTGGGTCCTATTCCATTATCTACCAATAGATTAATCCTCCTGGTAGCTGCTTGTTATTGCCATCTTATTGATAAGGAACTCCAAAGTAGCAAATACCAAGGAAGTTCATTTAAATTAACAGTTTTAAAAATAAAACAAGGGCTGGAAAGATGGCTCAGCGGTTAAGGGCACTGGCTACTCTTCCAGAGGTCTTGAGTTCAGTTCCCAGCACCTGCATGGTGGCCCACAACCACCCATAATGAGATCTAGTGCCTTCTTCTGGCCTGCAGGCATACATGAAGGCAGAACACTATATACATAATAAATAAATAAAACTTTAAAAATAAATAAATAAATAAATAAACGAAATAAAAGCCAAAGAAAGAAAACAACAACCAACCCCCTCCCAGCCCCCAAAACCTACCAGCTGTGTGCATGGTGCTATCCACATTTATTACTAGCATTTAGAAAATTAAGGCAGATGGATGGCTACTTGTTTAGTTCAAAGCTATTCTGGGCTACATAGAAAGACTTAAAAATAAAAATTTAGGCCGGGCGGTGGTGGCGCACGCCTTTAATCCCAGCACTCGGGAGGCAGAGCCAGGTGGATCTCTGTGAGTTCGAGGCCAGCCTGGGCTACCAAGCGAGTCCCAGGAAAGGCGCAAAGCTACACAGAGAAACCCTGTCTCGAAAAACGAAAAAAATAAAATAAAATAAAATAAATAAATAAAAATTTAAAAAAATAGTAACAGCAAATGCAAACCTTAAAGCTAATATAAACCAAGTTTTGAAACTTTGGGCGGACAGTTTCTGAGAGTGTTGTCATTTAGTATGGAAGTAAGCAAGTCACAATTGGAAAGGAAACCTGTAAAATGCATAATTTACTCAGAGCCAGGCCAGGTAGCCCATACACTCACAAAGCTGAGGCAAGAGTTGTGAGTTCCAGGTCAGCCTGGGCTACATACTGAGACCCTGTTTTGTTTTGTTTTTTAAACAAACTATAATTTAAGTTGAATGTATATTAATACACTATGTATGACTCGTGGTGTAGCATGAAACATAGAGACAAAGCCTCAGTAAAGCTCAGCAGGGGAGGACACACAGACGATGATGCTGCAGAAACCCTAGATTTTGTAGGTGAGGAGCTTGGAGGCAGAGAGATAGAACTTTTGAGTTATTTCCACATGACGGTGATTTCTGATTATTGAGTGGGTGCAGAGAGAGGAAGTGGTCCCATAATCACGTCTCTGTTGTTAAATTGGTCAAGGGAAGATGTACTAATCCCTCAACTTAAAGATTTCATTATTAAAAACTAGATCATTCTACCCTACCTGCTTGGAAAAGTGATTTGATTTGTCAAGCACTTATACATACAGACCTTCATTTTGTTTTGCTTGTGTTTGTTTGTAAACAAGATCTCATGTAGCCCAAGCTGACCTCAAACTCACAATGTAGCATTGAATACTACCTAGAATGGTGGTTGTCAACCTTCCTCATGTTGCGACCCTTTAATATGCCCACTTTATGTGGTGCTGGGATTAGACTCACTAATTCTGAGGTGTATGCTAGGCAAGCATTTTACCAACTGAGCTACAGCCCCTATCATACACAAGGCATTTTAAAACATGAATTTAGCTGGGTGTGGTGGCACATATCTGTGATCCCAGCATCTGAGAGGTAGAGGCAGGACCTCCGGTTCCTAGCAGCCTGGAATACATAGCCAGATGCTATCTCAGTTTTGTGAGACAATGTTAGAGTTTTGGGTTCTGTCTTTTTGTATCTAGACTAATGAATGACATATAGCTGGGACATATTCTCTAAATCAGACTTGTGAAAGGAAAAGAAGCAGATGATAAATCAAGTTAAATTGAGGGAAGGTTGGTATGAATCTGCTCCAGGGTTCCTTTCTAGGTTCTAGCTTGAAGAGGTCCAGAGGATGACTCAAGGGCAGTGGAGTCTAAACTGTAGAGTGACTATTTTCTAAAGTGCAATCTCCTGAGCACTCGCCAGAAATTTGGATTTGATATATGTAAGGTGAGCACCTGGGAACTATAATGTTCCAGAGCCCTGGAGTGATTCTAAGCACATCTAGTCAGTTTGGGGACCCAATGTTCATTGGTCATTCCATACCTTTGGACAAGGAGAACTTCAGAGAGTCTGTATGCTCCCTGAATACAACTCTCTCCTTTTACAAATGAAAAACTTGGATTCCGAGATATGAAGCACCTGGCTCAAATGTACACTCACGGTTGTGATGGCTGAGCCCAGGTTAGCACCCAGGTAACCTGGTGTGCATATCAGAGAACTTATAATAGCAGAACTTAGATGAAGAGGTTTGCAAAGGGCCTACCTTTCTGGTGTTCATAACAGCTTGATCCAAAGTCAATGACTTTAACAGTGACTTGGCCCCGCTGGTATAACACAATGTTTTCCTGGAGAGAAGAAGATGTATGTTAAGTTTATTTAAACTAATGTTACCTAGGCGCTCTCGTTACCTACCTGTCACTCCTCTACATGGATGGTCCTGTTCAAAAACAACCACCTCAAAGGCCTTCTTCCCAGTTCTTCTCCACTGCCCATTGTCCTCCCATCCTGGGATTTCCCACTGACTTGTGGTCAGCATCTGATCTGGACCAGTATTCACTGCTTTGCATTCCTTCATTTGTGTGTTTTGTCTCTTCCCTCACTGGCTGTGCAAACACTTCTGACAGTTACCAGTTTATTTACATGTTCTTTGGTACCTGGTTGTTTACCTGGCTTACATAAGGTCTCACAAATGCCATTGGCTGAATATATGCAATGTTTGTAAGAAATGTTATTGTTGACACTCTGCTGTGATAGTATAGAACCAATGAATGGATAGGTAAATAGATAACAGATAGATAGATAGATAGATAGATAGATAGATAGATAGATAGATAGATGGATAGAATGATTTGATGGGGCTGTATGGCTCTCACACTGAGTTTTGGGGGCCAGGTTTTAAGTCAAGTTATGGATCAAGGCAGAGATCTGGCCTCTTGAGTTTTTTTTTTTTTTTTTTATTTAACTGAGGATTGAACCTAGGGCCTTGCACTTGCTAGGCAAGCGCTCTACCACTGAGCTAAATCTCCATCCCTTTGTCTCAATGTGAAACTGTGCTGGCTAGGCCTGGAAGAAAGCCGTCCCGTGTCTCAAGGGTCTCCCTGTCAGAGGATTGCTTACTAAGCTAAGGACACATAGGACATAGCAGAGCAAATCTGAAGCCTTTGGCACCTCAGAAGAATGTCTGTTAACCCAGGGAAGATAGGCGGGGCAGCAGAAGCCTTAAAGGAGCAAGAACTTCTTGTGTGTCTCCAGCTCAATGGAGAGGCTCCTTCACAAGATGGGGGCTAGCCCTAGGCTGCGCCTTGGATCTTATATATACCCACCAGCCTGGGTGCTGCAAGCTTAGTTGCTGGCCTGAAGCACTGTGGGGAGATGGTGGGAACATCAGGAGGTGGGGTCTAGTGGGAGGAAGTTAGCTCCCTGGGGCCTGGCAGTGAAGGCGATACTGAGAGGCAGCCCTTCCCCCACTTTCTTTCTTCCTGGCCACTGCGAAAGGAATAGCTTCACTCTGGGTCCTGATGTTCTGCTTTGCCACAGTTCCAAAAGTGATGCTCCAGCCAACCAAGGATCGAAGCCATCAGCCAAAACAGACTTGACCCACTCCTTAGAAGCTGATTCCATTGGCATTTTGTCACAGCAATGGAAGACGGACAGACACACCCTCCCCTCTCCGTTCCCACTGGGAGAAAGTTCTCTTAGAAGGGGGAACACTATGGGCGCTCAGAACTCATGCCCTGTAAACACTAAAGACACCAGAACGAGCACCTACTTTTTAATACACATTCACAAAACACCCTCCTGGTTCGTGTTTCATTTTCCAAAGGGACACATTTACTGAGTACACTCGACTCATGTCTCAAAGAAATCTGTTACCTGATAATTGGGCTGGTGAAAATCTTGCAAATTTCCTTGGTGGAATCCAGTCCCCTAAATCTAAAGATCATAGGTATTATTGGACCCTTTGGAGCTGGAAAGCCGATGATTTGGAATGGGGTGTGGTGAATAAATCATTATATTTCCATCTTTATGAGGCTCCAACCAGCTATGACAGCATCTACCTTGGAAATCTTTAATCACAAAAATTTAGCCCCAGGACTGACAGTTTTCAAAAATAAATTAACCACGTTTAGGAATGAAGAGAAGAGAGTAGGAACAAGTTAAGAATAGTTGCCCCTAAGCCGAGCGGTGGTGACGCACACCTTTAATCCCAGCACTTAGGAAGCAGAGGCAGGAGGATCTCTGTGAGTTCGAGGCCACCCTGGTCTACAGAGCTAGTTTCAGGACAGCTAGTGCTGTTACACAGAGAAATCCTGCCTCGAAAAACCAGAAAGAGAGAGAGAGAGAGAGAGAGAGAGAGAGAGAGAGAGAGAGAGAGAGAACAGTTGCCTCTCTGTGAGTCAGGCTGGCTCATGAACCAGTTCTGTCTAGCTTGTCCCAAGCCACTGTTCTGAATTGACAGCCATTACCCATGTCACAATCATCTGTTGCCCTCTGTTTCTGGTACCAGGTTCCGTGTTAGGTCCTGAGAATATAACGGGGAGAAGAAGTGGTCCCTGCTCTCAGGAAGAGCTTGTAGTCCAGTGGGCAGCACGGATCTAAGGATGCCTAGCCAGGCACAGTGGTGCACGCCAGCACGCCCAGCGCTTGAGGAAGATACAAGCAAGAGGATCAATGGTTCAAGGTCAGCCTCAGCTAGATGTGGTGCCCGAGAACAGCCTGAGTTATATGAAACCCTGGCTCAAAAGAAAAAAACAAAAACCAACCCCTTCCCAAAGAAGCAATTACTAAATAAAGTGACCAGTACAGCTATAGAGCTATGTACACAATGCCAGTGAGGATGAGAACTGAATGGAGACCATCTGCCTACATGTGTGCCATGCCCATGTGTCCACCAGTTTTGAATATGCAAAGTATGATATCAGTAGGGATGTACCTACCTTTACATGTCCTGATGGGCATGAGTTTCTCCAATAAGATTTTACTGGCTTTGTTTGTGGAGGCATGTTATAGAGTAATCTCCAGTTCCCTCATTCATTATACAGTAATACATATTATGGAAAGGGAGTCTAAGGCAGGGTGTCAAGTATCTCAGGCTGGTCTTGAACTCGCTAATAAACTGAGGATGATCTTGAACTCCTGATCTCCCACCACACCTAACTGACAAGAACACTCTTAAAGACTGCAGTAACTGGTAATCAAAAGTACCAAAAGAGTACTCCTGGGACTACTTGTAGTACACCTTGTTGCTCAAGACATCAAACATGCCCCCACTTCTGTAGGAAAGCCCTAAGGAGTTCCTGTTCCTAGATTCCTCAATATATCACCCCCCTGCTTTCTCTCCCCAGTATTTATGCCGTAGTCCTCACTGCATCCCCACCTGTAAATGAACACCGCCTAGCTTCCACCCTGGAACCAGTGATGGCAGCCAGCCCCACCTGCTGGACAGAGTTCGTACTCACCGGCTTGAGATCACAGTGGATGATTTTCTCCACATAAAGCATTTGTAGGCACTTCAAAACAGAAAGGGTGAAGCGCCGAACTATGGACAGGCTGAAGCCTTGAAAACTATTGTTCTTCATCAACTCATACAAGTTGATTCTGAGAAAGAGAGGGGGAAAGTGATGTAGATGGCTGTCAAAACACCCTGCTCAGCTTGGACACACATGTTTATACCCTGTGTTACACGGTTCTCTCTAATATCAAACAGATCATAAACCAGGAGGCAAGGCTGCACAGCCAGAGTTCCTCCAGCTCTTGGATAAGACCCAGGGAGCCCTCGACAAAGCAGCCACACTTGCCTCAGCCGATAGGACTCTCCAAGTACTTCAGCATCGTGACACGTGTGGGGAATGAGAATGGGCCAACGGAAGCTCCCATAAACCAAAGTATGGCTACTCGGCCCCTTAACTGTGTAAAAGCTGGCTCTTCCCATACAATTCTCAGTTTTCCACGGTAGTGGAAGTCTGCAACATTCCATAAACCCTTGCTGTATTGTGTGAAATCTGCTGACTTGCTAGTCTCGGAAATGCATGCTAAGCACTTTAAAAGAAGCACACATTTGTGAGTTTGTGGCTTTTTTCTTCTGTGCAGACATCAAGATGAGGACAGGAAGGAAAGGGCACGTGTATCAACACTGGGCCACTTCCTTCCCCTCTTTTATTTCCGACAGTATCTGTGGCAGTATGTAGAAAGCCGTTCAGTCTGGGAGGTACAATACAGACAGGAGAGCTGGTTCTAGACACTCCAACCTTTGACCCTGAGCAACTCCCCAACGTAGCTGGGTTTCTCATAGCTCTTAAATACAATGACATCCTACCTGGGTATTGTGTTAAATGGCTAAGAGGGATACTTTATCCTATTTGACCACAGGGGAGATAATTCACTTGTGCATACTGGAGAGTAGATTACATTTTGCAGTCACCAGAGAAGAGTAACAGAATGTCCACTCTCTCGTTGAAGTGGAGCAGGTTCCATGACAGTGTCATGGAAGCATTAAGCTACTAAATTAATGACCCAGGCACATCTGGCTACTGAGAGCTCCCTTTCATCATTCTCCTTTGAGAAATGCATTCCTGCTTTGACTTGAAATGCATCAGTGTTCACTGAGAGAAAGATAATCAAATAAGCATGCCCCCTTCCCACAAGCACGTCTTTTCAGATCCATACTCAGTCATTTGCTGCCAACCAGCATAACTCAGGGTCCTGTTTTCTTATTTTAAAAATTCTGTTCTTGCCTTTACTCTAGTTCAAAGTCATTTGCCCACTCTAAGTAGGCAGTTGCCTGTGGTTCTGTGTTCTAATATCTGCACCACAGGATTGGGAAGCCAGGACAGAAGGACATGAAAGCAAAGTGATGTCCTTTTCAGCACGTTTCAGTTTCGATCTTGAGAGCAAGGGCTGTGATATGTCACTACTGCAATACTGAGCATCCCGGAAGCCCAGCATAAGTATGGATACAAGCAGGTGAAAGCCTTAACTGAGGCATAGGGTGAGATGTCAGTTTTCCATCCCAACCTCCTCTCTATCTGAGTGGCTATTAGGTCCACTCTAGACATTCAGTACCACTTCCAGAATCTAGTATTCTGGCCCCAGTTTCTCTTCTGTCAGTTATGCAACCATTTGTAATGGAACAAAGAAAAAGCATCTGACCCCAGGAGTTCAAAGGTGATACAGAGGTGATTCCGGAAGTAGAAGAAGTCCTTCATGTGGACCACATTGTGGCTGTTGTCTTTGTCCTTCCTTCGGAGGGCTTCCAGGATCTTCAGCTCCACCAGAGCCTGATGATGAAATCTGGGTAATTGGGAGTGGTCAGGATGGTGGGCAATGAGAATGGAAAACAAGCATCATGTCACAATGTTGCAGACAGTCCTCAGTCCCGCCCAACGACCCCAGGAATGTCTAAGATGTCAGAATGCACCCCAAACTCCATTTTTGCTTCTTGTTGCCCCTTTGTGGTACCAGATAGGTAGAGAGAGAAAAAAGAAAAGCCAAAGAGAGAGATGAGGAGAGCAATGGAGAAGGGAATTGGCTCTTGGAAGCAGCCAGAGTCACACGATCCAGTGTCTACATGTCACCCGTCAAGCCATACCTCTTTTTATTCCTGATAATTTTCAAGGCCACCAACTCATTGTTTTTGTGATCCAAGCATTTGACCACCTGTCCGAAGGACCCTTTCCCAATCATGTCCAGAACCTCATATCGGTAGGCAATGTGGTCATGCAGGACCTGCGGAAGTCAGGCCAGCAGTGAGGGACAGAACCATGGACTCTCGGATTCACCTCACTCCAGGGCCCCTGGATCCCACCACCCAGATACTGGCTCACTACTGGGGAGGAAATGGTTCCGTCCTCCTGTTCTCAACTTATCTCCTCATAAATGATTAGGTTGTTTGGACCCCAGACCACACATATGGTACCGGGAAGTGTCCCACAAGGCTTAATTCATGTCTGATAGTGTCTAATAGAGCATGGGATGCTCTTTGGGGGAACTGGTGTTTCTGTAGGATTAGGGCCTGTGGTAGAAAAAGATTAGCTCCACCCTGACCCTTGCTTTGCCCTCAGTCCGTAAGAGAAAGCTAAGTGCCTGCCTTGCCATTTCTTGGCCAGACATCTCCTCCTCCATTTGTCTAGATCTAACTGCCTGAGAAAGCAGTAAGGAACTTGGGCCTTTCTTGGCTAAAAATAAAAACATCTTCGAAGAGAGAATTATCATCCAGTTCTTGGTCAGAAAGCAGGAAGCAGGCATTCAGTCAAAGCCACACGAAGTTATTGGTGGAAGACTCGGGCAGAATGGCTTCAGACATCCCCCTTGTTCACCCTGAGCTACAGTGTTCTGATTTATAAAGTCAGGCACGGGATTCGGAATGCGATGGTGTCTGAGGCCCTCTAGCTGTGTCAGTCTCGGGTTAATAGTGTCAAACTCATGAGTCTGGGAGAACAAAGGATGAGTGTTTGTGCAGATTTCGTGATATGCTTGTGAACATGTATGTAGTGGTTCTGTTCATGCAGAAGGAATCAACACCGTGAGTTTAAGCGTGTACAATTTCATCAACATGGAAAAGGGCTCATCTGGTAAAGGCTCATGATGAAACGGGACAGAATCTGCAGACATGCTCATGTAAAAGTGCAGATGTGTATTCCTGGCATTCTTTTCATCTTCATGGCACTGATTTGGTTGTATCATGCTTGCTTCCATATCCACTTTGACATTAACTATAGTTAACTGAATAACCACAGTACACTCATGTGTGATAGATTACTCTCTATTTGCAGAGTCAAGAAGATGCCCAAGCTTGTGATAGGGGAGCAATAAATGGCTATATAGGTAACAGATGTTGGCAGAGTAAATGTAAGATTGTAGAGGGGAGCTTATTTGGGTATTTGTTTGTGTGCATATGTTCGTGTGTGGAATGGAATAAAGATGGGGATAGGAGCTTATAGAGAACACACATTCACAAACACACCTGCCCCACCCTACCCCGACCACAACATTAAAAAGAAAGCTCTCTACAATTTTACTGAGGTCCAGTGCATTCCCTTAAGGTCCAGGCTAATACCCTCATAGGGAGATGGAAAGATCCAGGAAGAAATGGGTGAAAATGTCAGGGAAAAACTTATATTGATGATTTGTAACCAATGATTCATTAATCTCCTGAAACTTTGTGTATGCACAGATTGCTTTGAGAGGGGGTGGGAGAGGGAAGAGGGACCATAGTTTTTTCTTTTTCTTTCCTCCTCCTCCTCCTCCTCTTCCTCCTCCTCCTCCTCCTCCTCCTCCTCCTCCTCCTCCTTCTTCTTCCTTTCAAGATAGGTTTTCTTTGTGTAGCTTTGGAGCCCGTCCTGGAACTCGCTCTGTAGACAAAGCTGGCCTCAAACTCACAGAGATCCACCTGCCTCTACCTCACAAGTGCTGGGATTAAAGGTGTGCACCACCACCACCCGGCTGTGAGGGCCTATAGCTTTTATCAGATTTCCAAAGGATCCTTGACTTAAAATTGTTGAGAACCTGGTGTAGTGTGTGTAGTAGAAATGACATGCCTGCTTCTCTAAGTGTGGTCTGGCTGGTACCTTGGGTATCACCTAAATGCTTTTTATAAACGTGAAATCCCTTATCCATCACATCTTGCCAGATAAGAATCTGTTCTTTAACAAGATCTCTAGTTGATCTGTGTGTTCAGTAGCTTGAGAATCAGGGCTTACATGCCATTAAGAAAACCTACTGCTTCTAAGACACCATCAAAGACGGTCATCTAAAACCAAGTTACAATGAGATGTCCAAAGAGGAGACTCTGGACAACCGCAGTCTGGTGGGTGAAGCATCACCTTCACAATTACCAAAAGCGGGGATCACTTCAGGCTAGGAGAAGGCATTGCCCCAGGACCCCAGAGGAGCAATAAGAGAGGTGGGAGAGGAGCTGTTGCAATCAAAATTTGAAAAGAAAAGGGAATTAAGTCCTGTGCATCAGGGACCACAATAACAAAAGCCTTTTCCTTCCTGGTGGGAAAATGACTCTCACTATAAAATAGAAAAAGAGTCCACAAGTGGGGTTTGTATGGAAGAGAATGGAAAAGGAAACGCAAAGGTGATGTCTCTTACTCCTTTCTTAATGGGTCCAGGGTTACTCAGAGGAACCCGTGGTAGTTCACCCAGCATACACATCTGTTGCCCCAGCATTCATAGAGAACATTGGTATTCTGACAACAGAGAGTTTTGTAGGATAAAATCACTTATTTTCCTGTTTTGTTTTTAGTATAGCATTTCATTTTAGGACCCACTAGAATCCTTTGGGAAACCGACCCCCTAGTACATCAGTACAAAGTACTGTAAAGTACCCGCCTCTGTTTTCCTCTAGATACAATATTCCCGCCCCCACCCCAAGTCCCAGAGAAGTTCTCCTAGCCCAGCACCTTCAGGTAGGAGCCGTGATCATCATCAAAACTTGTCTTGCTGAACTTCTCAGGCATCACCTTTAGCTTCTTGGCTTCAAGCCCCAGGTACCACAGCTCTGAGTAGCCCAGGATTTCACTTTGCTCATAAGGGGACAGCTGATTCTTAAAAAACTTTAGGGCCTCTGTGTGTGAAAAACATTGTCAGCTCAGTTGAGTCACATAGGGATCTGCCCTAGATACAGATTCTTTCCAGTTCAGGGCGCATTTTCCCAGCAAACTGGCTTCCTAAGGACCACACACAGGACCTCTCACCCCATGGAAATGTACCAGGGATAAATGTCAAGGAGAATTTAGCAACCCAAGACCATGGTGTGCCACAGCATGGGGAAACGCTTCAGGAGAAAATTCTGTGGCAACAACAGTCTTAAGGTGTCCACATGCCCAAGTTCATGTGGAATCATACTACACAAAGAGAGGATTTGAAAGTGATAATGGTTACTGGAGCCAGACTGGTAGTGTAAGTACAACTTTAATATAGTTTCTGTCCTGGCAAGTTTTTCCACTCAGATCTGTGCTGAGCAAGCCCAGGTAGCACCTCAATACACAGGGAAGAGTATCTGTACTAGATGATCAGATCACAGCAGGGGTGTGTGTGTGTGTGTGTGTGTGTGTGTGTGTGTGTGTGTGTGTGTGTGTGTGTGTATTAGGGTAGGGGTGGAATACTCTGGGTAATAGTCAACTTTAATAATTTTTCAAATTTTTATGTGTATTTTGCTTGCATATATGTCTGTGTACCACATGTGTGCCTGGTACCTGTAGAGGCCAGAAGAGAGCATCAGATCTCCTGGAACTGGAGTAAAAGATGGTTGAAAATTGCCATAGTGGTGGATGCTGGGAATCAAACCTGGGTCCTCTGGAAGAGCAGCCAGGTATCTTAACATCAGAGCAATCTCTCCAGCCCCAGTGATATCAACTTTAATATATGGGGTTTTCTCAGGACAAAGGGTTCGGGAGCGGCGCCCAGTTGTTTTGCTAACTGAGGAATGACAGAAGGAACTACTGGGGGGTAGACGATGAAGCACATGGTCTCTGTCTTCCTACGTGTGACCAGGCAATCACCTAGAGACTAAAAGAGGTTGTTCTCCACCCAGAGGCAGAACCAAGGCTTGAGACAGCAAGAAAGCAGCTATCACACCCTGTAAAGGCAGAGCTGGTTCGCAACAGAAGCCGTCTGCTTTGGGGTCGGTCATTCCTGGGATGGCTGAAGGAGGACAGCCGATTTCAGCTCAGCTCTATGGTGGAAGAGCAGCAGACTGGACAACGCTGGCACATGGAAGACACTCGGAAGACTTGGGTTCTCTTGCTTTGAGCCTTAGGAAGGAAGCCACGAGTCTCTGAAGCCAGGGAGGAGTCTGGCTTCTGATCTTTCAGGCTCCATCATGCCCAATGATAAAAGCTTTACCTGGTAGGCATCACAGGGCAGCTTCCCTTCTGACTCAAAGCACTTCACACACATGGTGGTCTCCTGCTAGAGCTACAGCCCAGGATCAGACTTCCCTGTCAGGCAACTGCTTATGTACCTCCATGTTGAACCCAGGAGTACTCTCTCCCTGCAGCCCACATGTGCTGCCATTTGGAGCCCTCTACCTGACCCTGACTGAGGTTTTCCTCAGGCTTCCCTGTGTAGATGGCCCTATCAGGAGGAAGAGGAAGTTTCAAAACACCTGACTGTGACAGTTCAGCGCTTGTCAGCCTTAATTCTAACTCACATGCCTCTCCCCCTTGAGTCCATACAGCAGCATACTGAGACAGTGCCCTCCCTCTCTCTCCACTGACACAGCCGACCTTGACCTTGTGCAGTTCTATGGTGAGCAATGGGCCACAGAGAGCTGGTACGTGCTCCCTCTTAGCCTCCTGCTTAGCCAGCCACAGTGAGAGGTCCCAGGATTAATCTTGTTCATTTTGGTTCTTTGCCTTAATTGATAACTCCAGTACGTGGAAGCTTGGATCACCGTAGCTCAGCTCAGTTTGTCTCAGCTCTCAACATTTTAGACATCTATAACCGTGCTCCCCCCACCACTCTATTCCCTCACCACTCTACTCCCCCACCACTCTGCTCCTCCACTGCTCTACCTTGCTCCTCCCTGAAAGGCATACCTGCTGCTGTAAGAGGGACCTTGTGTTTCTTTGGTAGTTCGGGATGTGGCTTGGTGTCTTGGGCTTTAGGGTTAAAGTTGAAAGGTATTTCTGAAGTCTTGACCTCAGAGGAGAGCGCTTGATTGTGAATATGATTTTCCTGTCCAGGGAAACAAGTTTGTAATAAAAGACTAGATTCTCTTAGAGGTCATAGGTCATCCATTTGACCCAATAGACCTACCTCCAGCCCAGATCATGTCCTACCACTCCCTGGAGAAAACAGTTATGAGTTAAGCGATTGTGGGTCTCTTGGCCCTTCTCCTAGAAAGAGTAGCCGACTCTCATGCGATTCCCTGGAAGAATCACTGTATTACATTACGCAGTTGACAACCCAGTGGCATGTCTCTGTAGAGAGAGACTCAACAATGTTTACTGCTGCTCTTGAGGAGGCCATGAGGTGGTTACTTTTCTTTGTTAACACCACTGGGTTTACAGTCACTATGGAAACACATCTCTTGATTTGTTTACGAGACATTTCCTGAACTGAAGAATGAAGACCCACCTTGAGTGTGGGAAGCACCAGTACCATTAAGGGAGAGTTGGGGGTTGCCCGAGACTGAATAGGAAGAGAAATCGAGCTGATCACCAGCATTCATCTCTGCTTCTTGCCCACAGACACAATGTGAGCAGCCGCCTTGAGCCCCTTCTGCCCATGGCCTTCCCTGCCATGAAGAACTTCATTGGCTTAGACTTTGAGCCAGAGGTAAGCCCCTCCCCGTCAAGTTGCCTCCTTTCAGGCATTTGGTCACAGCAGTGAGAAAAGTAACTAATATAGGCCGATTCCAAATAAGCTAAGTGACTTAGTGGGTTACAGGGCCTTCAGTGGAGTTGAGACTAGCCTCTGGTCAACTTGTTGCTGCTAGCTCACAGTATCTCATTGGGTCATCCCAGGAAATGTAGAGGAGAGGCTGGTGATGGGGCTCAGAGTGCATATTGCTCTGGCAAAGGACACAAGTCTCATTGCCAGCACATTGCCACATCAGGTGACTCACAACTGCCTGTGACCCCAGCTCCAGGGGCTCTGACATGCTCTTCTGGATTCCATGAGCACCTACGTTCATACGCACATACCCACAGACATTACACATAATTACATTTTTTTTTTAAAGTAGAGGACACTAGAAGACAATCTTTTGAATAACTCTGCCATTTATACAGCGGGGACTTCATTTTTCTTTTCCTTGATGAATGCTCATAATGCCACAGAGAGACCATTTTACAGGTAAAGGAAAGTCAAGGCACATTTGTTCAAGTTTTTACTCCTATCGAGTGAGAGGTCTAGAACCCAGACCTCCCCAGACCTGGTACTGCATTGAACTCAGGCCTCAAGCCTGCTTGCTTAAGGGCATGGCCATCGTCTTACTCACCTGATACAGCGTGGATGGCTTTGATTGGGCTTTGTTGCCAATGTGTGGGAAGTTAATTGTGTTCTTCCCCTTTGTGTCTACAAAAGGGAGTGCGGTGATGTTGGTGTTTGTACTCTACAAAAGGAGAAAGGGAATATGTCACAAACATCCCAGGAGAGGAAGCGTACTCTGGGTTATCTCTTCTATCCTGAACTCCACAAGAATGTGACAACTAACTCAGGTTCATAAGAAAAGGCAGATTCCAGAGAGCAGAGTAATCAATCAGTTGGGCTATGGGTTTGAATCCTCCCTCTACCACTTATGAACTGTAAGCCTCCAGTAGGTCATATTGATGTCTAAGCCTCATTTGTTACCATGGTGAAAAAATGGGACCTACCTCATAAGACTTTTATGGGGAAACAGATGTAGAGTGTTCCAAAGGTACTGGCCTTATTATCACCATTGCAATATCAGGGACCTAAAGGACCTATCTCCAACCAGGATTTATTTTCAGTTAAGAAACAGTAAGTTTCTTAATGTGTCTCTCAAAGTAAGTGTTTGTCTGACTTTCATACAATGCTCTGAAAATGCATCCAAATGTGGAGAAGTTCTTCCTACTATATGTGCAACACAAACCCTAATCCTCTCTACAGGTACATTATAATTTGGTCCCTATTATCCTGTGTTGATTGGTCTATGGATTGAATGGGAATTCACCTATCAACACACAGCCTTATTTAGAGTGTGGTCATTGTTAAACAAAATGGCCTGATAAACTCTATCCCAACTATCCACTTGCCTTCACCCTCTTCTAGAGAAATGGCACTGGCCATCACGTCCTACCTTATGTGAACACCGGGTCATTCTTAGCTTCTTGATCTTGGAGGATGGCTTCTGGACTTGAACCAAAGGCTTACTCTCAACCTGGGTCAGGCAGGAGAGAATTGAAATAGAGCTTGCCTGCTTTCATCCCAAGACACCTGTGCATTTTTTTCCATTATGATAAAGTGCCCTTGAAGCCAACTCTCCTAACTTGAAAGTTAGGAAAATTCAAGAGAAGCTAAAAGAAGTACTCAATGAATGCATGAGTGAATTGTTATTCAGTGAATGCATGAATGAATTGTTATTCAGTGAATGCATGTATGAATTGTTATTCAGTGAATGCATGTATGAATTGCTATCCAAACAAACGCTCTTTCCAGAAGTGTTAAGCATTGACTGACTAATTCCTATAATTGCCGCACTTAAAAAAAAAAAAAAGAATGGAAGCAATGTAAAGCCAAGTGGGGTGACACCTGCCTGTAGTTCCAGCAGTGGAATACCTGAGATGGGAGGATTGTGAGTTCTAGGACAGCCTGACTATAAAGCAAATTCTTATCTCATAAACAAAGTAGTCAGTATAACCTTTTCACCAACAAAACATTATCAGAATCCTTAGACATGGAAAGGAATAAAATCCAAGTTGTTCTTGCTCATTAGATGATAAAATGCTTATAACTCAGAACTGTCTTTACCATCAATATGTTGAAGGCACCTCAGTGGAACCTTCCAGAATCTAGGTGGCCAGCCTTAATGCCCATGATCTGATTAGAAGAGAATTCACATCTAGAATGAGGTGAAGAGAGAAAAATCAAATCCTCAAACAGTGTGTACCACGGTCGAGAAAGCCATCACGGAGGTAGACTGCCTCACTGTGTGCTGCACACAAATAAACAGAGGTCCAGTGGCTATGCTTTTCATTCCATGATCCACTTGGGAAGCTATTAGCACAACAGTGGACCTGAATTTTGTGCTTGTTATTATTAGGGATATGATTAAAATTTAAGTAAAAAATATAGTCGAGACAGACTACCTCTGTAGAATTTGGCAATTGGGTACAATACCTGAATTTATGACCCTCTAGCTAAGCCCTCCTCAGAGCTGTACAGATGGGGACTATTTCAATAGTCAGCTGTGATCTCCTAGACTTTGGAAGAGGACTGAAGGAAAGGGATATACAAGGAGAATAGCTATGGCTTCAGACCACCTTTGCTAATTTGCCAGAGTGTGCTAAATTCAGAATTTTCCTGTTCGTCAAATGGACCCTAGTGTCTGGGGAAATGCTGCAAATTAATTTTAAAACCCAAAGAATGTTATTAAGTGTGTTTATGGGGGTTTAAACTCATAAATGACCATCAGATCAACAAGCTAGTCTTGAGAATGCAATGGAGAGACTGGCAGATTAACGAGAATTATATTAATAATACGTAACTCTATCAGACAAAGGGTGGGGGCAATGAGTGCCTTCACCAACAGAGATGCCAGCATGAGAGCTACGAGCCTGAGGAGCAGGGAGGGTTGAAAGACATGGGGACTGAGAGGGAGTACACTATGGGATGAAGCGGTAGTGTCTGGCATGCACTAGGGCTCTCCACTGCCCACGCTTGTAGCCTGGGGCTGATTTTGGAATGCACGGGAAGCAAAGCAAAGAAACTTGGCCTTTATCCTGTGGGCAACTATAAAGCACTGGCAGTTTATACCAAATGTGCAGAGTGGTACTTCAGAGCGACCCCTTTAGCAGTGATATGGAATAAAATAATGTTTGGGGGCATGAAAATTTAGAAATCACCACGCCCCTGCCGCCACCCCGCCACCCACTTTTCTTCTTTTTTTAATGCCAGGATGGTGCATGCCTGGTGACATTTTTTAATTCAACAACTCCACTAATCACTGAGCTTGGGCAGTTATCAGTCGTTCCTTGTGTAATATGGGGACGTTATCCGTGACACCCTCAGAGGGCTGGTGTGAGGAGTAAAGTATGCATGTAATCTGCTGAGACCTGTGCCTTACACACACTGAGACTGCCGACTGGAGTTCATTGTCTCTAGCTGTGAAGAGCATGGGGTGATCTTGCTCATTTTCCCTGAAACAGGAAAAGCTATGAACACAGTCCTGATGGACGGTGAACAAGATGATGTGGCCACAAAACCTAAAGGAGCATAATGCTTAACCTGAGAAAAGAATAAAACAGAACAGAGCTTGTGGGAGACAACAATCAGATTCTGCCCGACATGTGCATTGGAGCTGAATGCAGTGTCTGGAAGGAAGATGGCAGGTTTCTCATTGTTAGGGTGAAGATTTACATATCAGTGAGGTTCCATCACCATCATGTCATAATTGGCTAGGACTAGATACAGAAGAACTCGTATTTAACTTAATATACCTACAGATGGCTACACAGAAATCCTTCTGTATCGGTGCCACACACACACACACACACACACACACACACACACACACACACACACACACACACACACTTTCTCTGTCCCTGAGAGAACTTAAGAGAAATAACACCCCAGTAGAAATAAGCATGCCTAGTACCCACATATTGGTATCTCATACCACTCTTCAATAAGAGGAACCGGAAGTCCTTGGACAAATGGCAGATTCTGGGACCAGGGCAGGAAATAACTTGTAGACATAGAAAGTAAAGAAGTGATGAAAATAATAGACTAATATTCAGTAACAATGCAAGGAAAAAATAGGTATTCATGAGCCCACACTGATCCAAATACAGCAAAGCTTCCAAACCTGTCACATACAGCCTGTCTTTGGACAGCAACCCAGGATATGGAGAAAAGGCAGCTTATAGCCAAGGTTAGAGCCACACCGGGACTTGATAAAGACACTCCCCCCAAATGGTGACATCTGTGTGTTTGCACACACACACACACACACACACACACACACACACACACACACACACACGGGCAGGGGCAGAGAGCCTCAGAAAGTGGTGTGTTGTACCACATGATGGACTTACAGACCACTTTTTTCAAGAGGCATGAGATCTCATCGCACCTCATTCTGCAATAGCATCCTCAAGGGACAAGAGGAAGTGACTGCTTTCCCACATCCACAATGCAAAACAAAATTTTCTTTTTAGGTGGCGTACTTTCTGGCATTGTCCTTTGGTCCCTCACTGCTTTGTTCCCAACAAATGAATCTCTTCTGAATGTAGTATAGGGGCTAGGGGGCTAAACAAGTGGTCCATGTTAGGAAACCCAGTCCTGGAAAGCCTAAATAGGCAGGTGTTCATTCCCATGTGAGTCACACCGACCTGATCACATGACCTCTTTGGGAGAATGAAGGCGGGATGTAGAAGAACGGACTCCCCAGAACCATACGAGGATGAAATCCTCAGTGCCACCCAGTGACATTCTGTCTTCTCCTCTGGCTTTTGTTCACATCACACCAGGTCCCAAGTGGACATGCACACCCTTCCCCCACCTTAGATGAAAAGCTCTGCGCTGTTTACAAGGGCCACGGTGGGCAGGGGTGGTGGTGGTGGGGGAACTTATGTCCAACATCATTATTCTGAGAACTGAAAGACAATGGCTCTTTCCCCCCCATTTAGATCTAGTCTTAACAGGATCCCAAGATGCATCTCCTGGTCTTATTACCTTGGACTGAGCCTTGGATGTCCTCATCTGTGACGTCCAGGGAAGAAAGCATCTGGGCTCTAGGTGGGCATCAGTTCCCCTGGTCCCAGGCCTCTAGGACACCTAAACTTTTCAGAGGTACACTATCAAACAACCCTGCCTTAGTCAGTCCTCACTGGCTACTTCTGTTTTCTCAACTGGCTCCTCCTCCTTTTCTCCCCGCCTCTCTCTTAAAAAAAAAAATCCCTAGAGCTTAGATGAGCCTGGCAGGCAGATGAGGTTTAAGTTCTCTGCTATTAGCTCACAGCTTCCTCCCTGCAGGCTCCAGAATCTTCTCCCAGAGACCAGGAAAGAAAAAAACCAAACATGAGTTCAAAACAAATGCTTGATGTAAGGAGAGAGCGTGATGATGAGAGAGAAGAAAAATCATTAGGGATTTGATACTGAACACAATTTAAATGGATGACTAGGGCCCATCCAAGCCAGATAAAGAGCTGGGAAAGGGGAAGGTGCCTTGATCCTGCAACCCAGCTAAGGGACTAAGCTACGTTACTAGCTGCAGATCTCAGCTAATCAAGGTTTCTATCTGACTGCCATTTCTAGCTAAGAGTCTTTGCTGAAAGCTCCTTTGCTGTGCATGAGGAAGCCCAGGATGCCTAAGCAGGAAGGAACTGCCTCCTGGGTCCCTCCCACAGGCAAGAAGGGACTCTGGAGACCCATTAGTGGGATGAACGTGACCATTCACATGGGAGAGGCAGCTCCATGTCATGGATGCAGTGTCCTCCCAGGAGACCTGCCTACCAGCCTCCTGGCCATACTTGAGAGAAAGGCAAGAAACTGAGGCCTGAAAGCTCAGACACTTGGAGTCATTTCCTACTTCTCAGTGCCTGGCATTGGGGACATATCTCCTCATGATTTCACTAATGGATCTTGGATAATCATGTTGCCAGGGACAATCTTTGGAAATATGTCTCAGAATGGTCTTGTTTTACACATGGAGAAAGAAAAGCCAAGGTTATCCAAATAAGTTGTCCAAGGTGACCACCACCCCACCCCACTTCTCTGCCCCCGACGGTAGCAAACTTGAGTCTGGAACCTAAACCCTCAAGTGCCCCTTTTCCTGAGTCATGCTGCTACCCCCATCTGACCTCTTCATGGTCTACAAAACCGAGGGACACTGAAATAGGAAATACTTCTCATCTGAAACTCTCGAATTAAAAGTATGTTTCTGGAGGCTGAAGCAGGTAAGAGCACTTTCAGAGGACCTGGCTTTCATTCTCAGGACTCACGTGGCATCTTACAATCGTCTGTCACTCCAGTTCCAGGGGATGAGATACCTTTTCTGGCCTCCTTAGGCACCAGACATACACACAGTACACAGACATACATACAAGCAAACATTTATACACATAAAATAAAAGATAAGGGGCTGGAGAGATGGCTCAGGGGTTAAGAGCGCTGACTCTTCTTCCAGAGGACCTGAGTTCAATTCCAGCAACC